GCAAGAAAAAGGAGGAGGAGGAAGATGAGGACGAGGATGAACAAGTCGGTTCTAGCGCAGTTTTTTTCCTTGTCTATAAAGCATTGAAATCCCCTGTACACAACTCCTTTTAAAGAAAAAAATTGAAATGTAATGCTGTGTAAGATTGCTAGAACTGTACTGTGTCTTCTTTTGTGTCGTTCACACACTGCCGAATGTGTCCTTAGCTAGCCCTGTCCTGGTATTTTCAGTAGCCACTAACCTTGCCTGGGACAGTATGGGGGCTGGAAACGGGCATGAAATTAAAGCAGGTTCTTCTGGGTGCACAGCACAGATGAGTTATAGATGGGGTTGGTAGGTTTGTTTTGTTTTGTTTTTATCTTCAGTTGCCTCTGATGCAGCTTACACAAAATAATTGTTCTGTTAACTGAATACCACTCTATAATTGCAAAAAAAAATTAAGTTGCAGCTGTTTTGTTGACATTCTGAATGTGTCTAAGTAAATACAATTTTTTTACTTAAAAAAAGGAAATTCAAAACTGAGAAAAACAGCCATGGCCAGTTACAGAAGACGTGAGGTGTGTCTGAGGCCGGAGAATTTACGAGGAGCACAGGACGGGGCGGGCTTGCAATGGGGCACGTCTTCCTGGACCCTCTTACGTACAGGGAAAGCAGAAGGCCCGTGGGATGAATAGAGGGCTCATTCTCCGTCCATCACCTGCTGCCGGGGGATCCCATCTTCTGTAGGCGGAGAATAACGGGAGGACCAGGGGTCAGGGATGAAGAGGTTGGTTTGTCAGGATCGGTTAAGTTCTCATGAGAAACTGATCTTTTTTTCCTAGTTGCAGGAGGGCATGCGTGCTGGCCAGGGAGGGACAGAGACAGAGAAAGCACGCTCATGGGGCCTGGTCACCCCAACCCCCTCTGCTCCTGCCCTGCCCTATCCTGAACACCAAGACAGAGGCCATGAGATTTTCAATGACCGGCCCGGGGTTCAAACCAGCTGGGCGTGTGGGATCCGATTGCCCCAACCGCGAGACTACCAGGCCTGCTCTGAAACTAGTTTTATTTATTTATTTTAATTTGCCAGAGGGCTCCAGCACTCACCAGAAAGCAAGGAAGCATTCCCATGGGGATGGTTCTCCATGCCACTAGCTGGCCCCAAAGCGACCTTTCAGTAGATAAACTTTTAAAATTATCTAATACAAATAATTCTATGGTCACCTTAAAGGGAAACAGCAGGATTCGCCCTGTAGTCAAGGGACTGGGAGACTCGGAGAACCGTTATCACCGAAGACTAAAGGACTTCGTGTTCTGAGTATGATTCACCTCGGCTTTGATATTCAACCGCAGCATTTCAAGTTTGGTCCAGCACCATAATAATACTGTCACCCCTGCCCACCAATTAATCTAGTGTTTAAACTCTAATCACTTCTGCTGCCCCTGGGGGGGACGCCCTCCGCAGAGAAGAGGCTTCCTCCTGCCCCGCACCCTCCAGGACGGGACTGCCTCCACCCCCAGGTTCCCCTCCTCTCTGCTTTCCACTATCTCTGGGTGGAGGAGGGTCCTTTCTTCTGAGATTCCTGATTTAGATTAAATAATAATAATAATAGCAATAACGGTGTCATTTTGCTGCCGAAGGCTTTGGTGTGGCAAGGGTGGAGGGGCGGAGAACCTCTCCCCCAGCCCTGGCCGAGATCCCCTGGCGCTTGGGCCAAGCCAGCTCGGAGGCTGCTCAGGACACTGTCCCCAGCCCTCGGGCAGAACCCGGCAGGGCCAGTGCACCCGGGGCCCTGTAACCAATGGCACGGGCAGCCGGCGGCCAATCGGCGCACAGGGCGGGGCAGCCGGCCTCCTG